AAGAAATGAGCCAAACCAATGGAGAAAAACTGTAAGTCGCTGGAGTTTATGACGGAGGAGATTTCTACAGAGCCCCGCAAGGGACATGGGAGGGAAAAAAGTAAGATGAACTTTTGCGAGATAAACTTTTAAGATATTTTCAGGCGTGAATGTAGCCGTGTAACAATCAAATATCTGATCGGTTTATCAAGGCATCACATATTTGCAAAAGTGCTCCGACGTTTTCGGAGATGTCTGTTACCCACCAGCTCGAAGCTAACAGGAGTTCGAGACATAAATTAACATATGCCAGGGGGTGTAATATAAAAAGTTAAATACATTCAAATAATTTGTAATTAGTACAAACAGTGGCTCAGCTATGCTCCAATCCCTCCATATTGTGGCCAATCACATGCGAGGATATAGGATAATATCATTATGTGAAAAACAGAGAGGGTGAGAGACGCGACAGTCGAGTGGAGCGTGCGTCTGTCCTCTCAGTAAGTGAGTGAGACAGTAGACAGCGGTGAGCAGGACTGTGCGAGTGCATCGCAAAAACACATAAATATGCCTGACACCCGTAAACAAAGCAGCATCTGGGTGCAGTTTAAATACTTTTTTTGTCTCGGTCTCAGTCTTGACTTTGTCTTGGTCTTGACTTGGACTGTCCTCGTCTTGGTCTTGGTTTAGGCGGTCTTGACTACAAGTCTAGTTCTCACCCACTATTTTCATAACAGCGACGTGTATACATGTGTGTCGGTGCAAAAGTATGTTTATACACTGTGTACATACATACATACATACATACACATATACATATATATTATAGATAGATAGATAGATAGATAGATAGATAGATAGATAGATAGATGAAGTTGATTGGATTTACAGAAAGTGTGCAATAATTGTTTAAACAAAATCGGGCAGGTGCATAAATTTGGGCACCAAAAAAAAGAAATGAAATCAATATTTAGTAGATCCGCCTTTTGCAGAAATTACAGTCTCTAAACGCTTCCTGTAGGTTCCAATGAGAGTCTGGATTGTGGTTGAAGGTATTTTGGACCATTCCTCTTTACAAAACATCTCTAGTTCATTCAGGTTTGATGGCTTCCAAGCATGGACAGCTCTCTTTAACTCACACCACAGATTTCAATAATATTCAGGTCTGGGGACTGAGATGGCCGTTCCAGAACATTGTATTTGTTCCTCTGCATGAATGCCTTAGTGAAGTTTGAGCAGTGTTTCCGGTCGTTGTCTTGTTGAAAGATCCAGCCCCGGCGCAGCTTCAGCTTTGTCACTGATTCCTGGACATTGGTCTCCACAATCTGCTGATACTGAGTGGAATCCATGTGTCCCTCAACTTTGACAAGTGCAGTCCCCGCACTGGCCACACAGCCCCACAGCATGATGGAACCACCACCATATTTTACTGTAGGTAGCAGGTGTTTTTCTTGGAATGCTGTGTGCTTTTTCCTCCATGCGTAACGCCCCTTGTTATGCCCAAATAACTCAATTTTAGTTTCATCAGTCCACAACACCTTATTCCAGAATGAAGCTGGCTTGTCCAAATGTGCTTTAGCAAACCTCAAGCGGCTCTATTTGTGCTGTGGGCGAAGAAAAGGCTTCCTCTGCATCACTCTCGCATACAGCATCTCCTTGTGTAAAGTGCGCTGAATGGTTGAACGATGCACAGCGACTCCATCTGCTACAAGATGATGCTTAAATCTCTGAGACAGCTTTCTGTATCCTTTCCCTAAACCATGATGGTGAACAATCTTTGTCTTCAGGTCATTTGAGAGTAGTTTTGAGACCCCCATGTTGCTACTCTTCAGAGAAAATTAAAAGAGGAGGGAAACTTACAACTGACCCCCTTAAATACTCTTTCTCATTATTGGATTCACCTGTTTATGTAGGTCAGGGGTCACTGAGCTTACCAAGCCAATTTGAGTTCCAATAATTAGTTCTAAAAGTTTTGGAATCAATAAAATGACAACAGTGCCCAAATTTATGCACCTGCCTGATTTCGTTTAAACAATTATTGCACACGTTCTGTAAATCCAATAAACTTCATTTCACTTCTCAAATATCACTGTGTGTGTGTCTCCTATATGATATATTTAACTGACATTTTTTTATTGTAACAACCAACGATTTATACAGGAAAATAATGACTATTAACTCTCTCAAGGCAGACGTTGCCGATTTGCAACAGTTAAAAACTAACAACCTGATTACCCCACATACATATTTTATGAGTTTTTTTTACTCAGAAGTACCACTGCAGGACTTGGTTGTGCATTAGCAACAAAAAACTTAATTTGAGCCTGAGACGGTTAACAAGGTTCCCCAAACTTTTGCAGCCCACTGTATATACATGGACGGACGGACGGACAGTTAAAGCTGTCTTAATAACTAATATTCTATTAATCACAATATGCAGTCATCACATAATCATTTGACGCTTCACTTGGTCAAAACAAATCATGTAATGAATGTCAGAATATAAAGTATGCATGAACAATAAAAACAGTGACTTCTTAAATCTCTCCAGGATGAAGATGTTTGGAAGAAAGATGAGCTGCTGTGTGGCTCTCCTCCTGACCTTCAGCTCTGTGTCAGCTGTAGGACGAAAGCTCAACTCAATCACTGATCTGAGGTCAGTAGGCTTTGGCCAGTCTGTGCCTGAGCAGGGCGTTTGGTTGCTCCACTGGTTTGCCAATGAAATTGACATTGACATAAACGGTGACATAAGTCTGATCTTTGACCCAAATAGTGGTGATTATGGCTCACATCATTATCGCAACGATGAACAGCTGTTAGACCCACTGCCGTGGGGATATCAATACTACAGTCTTGGTAATATCCATCGAGAAGGATCGTTGCGACTTCCACCTCATGTCTTCCAATTAGAGCACGAGGCCGGCAACAGGGCTCGGATCATAATCAGAGTCAGGGAGCCAAACCATGGATGGCGAACTTCACAGAGAATAGACCGAGTCTATATCACACAGCATTATGGTACATCTGAACATCGAGGGACAGATTATGATCCACAACATACATATGAGATCACTGCTGACCTCTTAAGAGCGATCAGCAAGTTTTCCATGGACAGTAATGACATCAATTTACTGATGTCTCTCAGAGACCACTTTAGAAGCAGTGCTGATGACTCCCAGCTATCAGAGATGAGAAACACGTGGGGTGACCTCGCTTGTCTTGGACTGTTGTTGTTTATTGTGATCCAGAAGAGCAATTCCTCTCACAAACACAACAGATGGCAGCCATCACAGAGAAGCAACACACTAAGTGATACTGTGGTCAATATCACAGAGAGCAGGCAACACAATGCTTTTGTCTCCCCAGAAAGCTTCAACTCTACTTTGCCGGACGACAACACCTGTGTTAGGTGTTTCTGTGTTGTGTTTGGTGTTGGTCTTCTGTATCTGGCATACTCACTTATATATTAATTTAACTACAATCAGTGTCAACACATAGATTAAATAGAGCATTTTATTACAGTGTACTGCCACTGACTGCAAAACCCTTGAGCAAACAGTGTTTCACCATCAGTCTTCCTCCTGCAGTCTTGATACACTCCCTTTTTTCTTTTCCTCAGAAGCTCAGTCAGCCCCTAAACTCTTTTTCCTGACATTTTCCCTGCAGCACTGAAGACTGAAGTTGTCAATCCTTCTTGAAAAAACAGAGAAATTGGTATATTTTACACTATAATATTTATTGTCTTTATTATTGGTTTCAAAGTATCCATAAGATTGTTGAAAATGTAGTTTATTTTTATTTAGCCAATTTTGTTCTGTCTATGCTTCCTTTAATAGAGGGTGGCTTATCATAACTATGCAGATAACACCCTGATTTAAGGCTGTAACTGAGTCAGCTTTTTCGAGAGAAATTGCTAATTTATGGATTTATTTTTTGTTCCCCAACTTTCCTCAACTTTCTCCATTTCTATTTTAATAATCAGGTAAATTTTTTAATTTTACACCACATCATCTCATATTTCATGACTTTCCTTAATAAGGGTTTATTAATTGTATAGTAAATAAACCCAGTTAGTTTGATCTCACACTGTGTGTGATAAAAAGAAAAATAAATTACAACCAGAAGACTAGGACTGCTGGGATATTATTTGTACTCCATGTCCTAAGAATCAGTCAGCTACAACACTTTGTTACAACCAGTTGAATAACAGGAGTTGTTCCATTGTACACTTTGAAATGGTGTTTCCTTGCTTGAACTGAAAACCTTAAAGACTTAGATGCAAAACAAAACAAGAAGAGAAACAAAGGTTTCTCTTTAGGACTTTGTGAACTCGTTTTCTCCTTTTTAGCTTCATTTGTTTTGTTTTTTATCTACATGAATCTCATTTGTTACACTTCTGTAACAACACTGGCTCCTGTTTCTGTCTGTTTTTTGTGCGCATTTTCTATTTTCAATGCATGTTGCTGCTTTCTTCATGTTCTATCTATCTGTATGTATCCCAAACAACCCAAATATTAGAGTAACAAACATCTTGTGACACATTCTGTGTTGGATTTTCTTGTCGAAGGAATCATCAATTTAACTGACAGATGTTTTGCTGACTCATGCTTATGTTCAATCAGGTTCAACAGCTTGTTAAGGTCTACAAATACTTTTTGCACATTTAGATGTTTGCAGGTGTTTATTTGTAGACATGTAAATTATATATATTTTCCTCTACTTGGTCTGGAAATAAAAATTCTTAACAAAACTTTTGATTCATTTGTGTGTAATTTATTTGCTACAAAGAAAAAGAGCTGGATGAACATCTAACTCTGTGGTGATGCCATCTTGTTTGCCAGTGGTTGGAATGATGGACAAAGGAGCTGGATGAACATCTCTTCTTCTTTACGGGCAGTGGTGTCACTGGTGACGTCTTGAAACCTCGCTGGTTCAGAAAGTGGTCTGAGCATTGGTGTGATTTATGAACATGTATAAATTTGCGTGTTTGTGTTGGGTTTTCGTCTGTGAGACAGAGGAGCTTGATTTTATAGAGCCAGCTGAAAGGAGAAGGGTTTTCCCCCGGGTGGAAACACTTTAAGCTGAATGTTACATATAATCTGCCTGAAAATAATGAAACATGTTACGACTAAAACGTTCACAAGTTGGGGTTTTTTGTTAAGTTAAATAAAACAAAATTAATAGTTAATTGTGTGCCAATTAACTGGGGCACAACACATCACCTATGAGTGTCTGTGCTGTGGGATACTGGTGCACTCCTGCCTCCTCACCATTATGTGAAAGAAAATACCATCAGCCCAGTATTCATGAGCACAGTCACTGTCCCATCTTTTGAAAACACCACAACAGGTTTAACACAAACTTCTCATATCCTGTTGGATTTATTTAAACACCGACTGAAGTCTTACTGACAGGTTTTTGACATTGATAGAGCTCAACAGCCACGAGGCCTCACAGGTGGTTGAAATGACAATAAAGGTTTTGACCAGCAGGGGGCGTGGTCAGATGAAGCCTCGAGAAATGAAACTTACTTTGAACCAGCTGGACTGAAAGTTTTAAGGTTTCATGAGGCTTTACGAGGCTTCATCTGCACACTTCTGACACCTGACCGGTGTCAGAAGTGTGCACCTGATCGGTGCCCACATACTACTTCATCAAGAATCATGGGTTAGAGCAGCTCAGCATATAATATCAAATTATTTATTTACTCTGAACAGCCCCATAAACAATGCCTGCAGTTACAAACATTCAAGGTTATGTTGCTATTGTATTTGTCAAACTAGTCACAGTTTTCTTTAGAAAGGTTCCTAATGCTTGGCAGCAGGGCTGGACCCTAAGGGCTGGCACGTGCCATCCTAAATTAATCTCTTGGTTTTATTTCTTGTTGTCAGTAGCAACCGATGCCGATGCCAGAGCACATCGTGAATCAACACCATGGGCATTTCAGATTTTACACAACTATTATTTTGTCAGTGTGTGAAAACAAATGATCAACTTTGTCTGGAAAAGGATGATTTTTATAGCAGGTTATTGAATGAATGAAAAGTTCCAGTTATTCACTTTGTTTATTACTTTGTAGTTTGGATGCCCGCAGGTGAGGTCTTAATCAAATGCAAAAGGCAGAAATTCACGTCCTTCATATTTTCCACCCAGTGGGCTATAATGGAGACCTAGCTGGGTTTTATGTTTGACACCCCTGATCTACATTGACTGTAAAGTTTTACAGCTTGGAGATGTTTCACGTGAAATGTTGTTAGAAGAGGTTTAATCCTGTAACATTATGTTGACAGTTTCAGCGGCCGTGTGTTGTGACACCCTGACTCTGGCCCCTTTGAAGATTTTGAAAAGCAAGTAAAAGAGCAAATACCTGGAAAACGAACTCCTCCTCCCTTATGGTGTCAGTTTAAAGATGAATCAGTATAACAAAAGAAAAAAACTATTTTAGTCCTTAATAAAGCTCTATGACATCAGTCACTGCTAAAGTATTGACTTTGACTGATTGATTTAATGTAGACATACATTTAAATACATCTATGCCAAGATTTGCATTGTTTTCTTGGTGTCTCACATTTCTTAGAACAAACAAATAGAGTCACTGGACCAGCTGGTGCAGGCAAATCCAATTTACTTAATCTGTCTTAAATGATTCAAATTAGGCAGAAATACTGGTTGAACTGGCTGACCCCTGGCAGAGTTCCACACAGCTGTCCAAGAACTTTCAAAACACAGAGGCGTGGTGATCATAGAAGCATAGGTTCACTGTCGGCATTACAGTAAGTGCATCACAGTTTGTTTGTTTTTTTAAATTAGAAAAGATCTGCTAAACTAGAAACACTTAAATCCATGATGGTGTTCCTCTTTTACAGCCTCATCCAAATAGCTGGATTATCAGACTTCATCTTATCAACTAGCAGAACTTGTTTCTCTGGTTTCATTTACCAGGAAAAGCAAAGCATAAAGGGAGCTACGACTGTCCTCACACAAACACCAGCAGCAGGCTTACACAGGTAAGTTCTCTCATTTTCTGGGGAATTCATTCTAATTTATTTTCACTCACATGACTTTACCCTCTTTTCTAATGCTCCATTTATTCTACCAATGACAAAATATTTAAAGATAGGATGAAATGGATTGTACTTTGTCTGCATTCTCTTAAATTAGAAGCATACTCATTCAAGTGCAAAATGATCTAGTTTTGATGTTATTAGTTTAACTTTCTGACACATGGAGAAGTGAGTATCATGAAACCACCTGACAACATAAATAAATAAAATTATGGGTTAACAGATGTGTAATGGATAAGTGAGAAAAAAAAATAAAAAGATGAATGAAAAGGCACTCAAATATGTAGTTGTTACGATAGATAGATACAGTGGGGCAAAAAAGTATTTAGTCAGCCACCGATTGTGCAAGTTCCCCCACTTAAAATGATGACAGAGGTCAGTAATTTGCACCAGAGGTACA